GGTTATTGCCACTGCAATAGGGCTTCATGGTCTAGTGGTATGATTCTTGCTTTGGGTCACCATCTCATATGCAAGAGGCCCCGCGTTCGAATCGCGGTGGAGCCCCTACATTGATGGAACGAACCCATCTAACGACTTTTTACCCTTTTGCTCGTTGGGCGTGTGGTAGGTAGAAAGGTGGTCGACTGGTCGCACGCAGGGGCGAGAGAAATGGAAGACTTTATGCGGTAGTAAAACACCCGCTTTGTTGCTTTCGTATAACGACTGCCTGCGCACCGAACTAGGATGCCAACTCACACACCCATCTATCCCCAAACCATGCCCACAACAGCAGTGCGAGTCCGCACTCAATACCGCTCCCTCGCTCAACCAAACGCCTAGACACTCCTTTTCACTCCATAGCCACACGCTGTTCCGCTGCAGAGCAGCGCACCGCAGCGGCAAACACCAGCCAGCCTCGATCCTGTCCTGACCCACGCCCACATCGTCCCTTCGCCCACTCAACTCCCTCGCCGCCCCCCTTTCCCTATGACCCTTCCTTATTACCCGCCCTCACATCCCCCCCACTACCGCTTCCCCCACTTCCCCTCGCCCCAGCAGCGGAGGAACTCCTCGCCGGCCCTGCGGCGCTGCCAGTACCCACACTCTTCACACTGCCCGAGGAGGTGGGTCTGTGTCCACCACTACTGCCTCCACTCCCGCCACCGCCGCTATTGCTCCGCGAGCGCGTGCGGGTCATGCCGTGGCCTATGAGGGCTTTGTGCTGGGTTTGCGGTTTAAGGTGGTGATGGTGTTGGGTTTGTGTCTGAGGTTGCTCGACGGAGTTGGTGCTGCTGGAGGGTCGGGATTTCTATATAGAAAGCACGGCTCGAAATCAGAAAATCCAAACGCGAGCAAAGCAGGTTGCGAGGATTAAAACGTGAGATATGGATGCTCTAGGTTAGGTTACAAGGCCTTTTCGTTTTTGTCAAAGTAGGGTAGGAAGAAATCTGGAGGCGGAGGGTCCGGGATGGGAAGCAAGCGGCCGGCCCCGAATCAAATTCAGATTCAACGTACCGAGTTATTGCCGCCCACCCCGCCTCCCCGGTCCCCGTACTCTTTCCCACCGCCTACCCCCGGCGCTCTCCGCCCATCATCTTGTAAGCGCAACTGCTCCATTCTCCGCGAACTGCTATCCTGTCCCAGCGTGTCGTTGGGCACACCGCCGATGCCGCCGCTGCCGTCTTGGCGCATCTGTAGCGAAGCCGGCAGTGAGAGACCTTTCATAGTCGGACCTCCGTTCCGCGAGTACTCCCCGCCGCTGGCGATGCCGCCAACGTGGTGGCCTCCACCGACACCACTCGCGCCGTTCATCTTCATCTGTTCGGCGAGTTGCGCGAGGCGGTCCCACTTCGCTTGCCGTACTTGCTTCACCGCTTCGGCGTTGTTCTGCTGCTCCGTGTAGTCGTGCGAGCACTCGTCGAATAGCTGTGGGTTGACCTCCATGAACAGCTTCATGGCATTGTACACCATGCCGTGGATAGTCCTGGAAGATGTCAGTACACGTGTAGGTATATCGGTGAATTATGCTGAATCAACGCACCGATTCCAATGACCCTTTGAGTTCTCATACAGCGGCGCGAACATAATGGGCAGGATAACGTCCACGTTGTCGCTAACCAGATTGCAGAAGTACTCGTTGTTCCAGAAGTAGAGTGCTCGCTCGGCGACCTGTATCCGACGGGTCAGCCAAAACGCAACATCGCTCACTTCGCAAAACGCGCCCTCTACTCACCTGGAAATGTGGGCTAGCCACGCTCTTAGCCAACTGGTTAAACAAGGGTTCCTGCACCTTGGCAAACTCGGCCGGATCCATGACCTCGAAAATATCCTCCACCTCGTTCAGAAACATGACCTCCTTCGTGCTATTCACTTTGGGCCAATACCGCAGCAGACCCAACACCACCTCCTCCGTCAAAGCAGCGTCTTTTTCCAAAAATTGCACGATGCAGTACGCCAGCTGCGGGTGGTACATGCTCAGACTCTTGACTTTGTGCATCGGGATCAGCACGCGGGTCAGGAAAAGCTTGTGTTCCTCCTTGAGTGGCAGCGCGAAGCCATTGATGATAGAGCCGAGGATCTCGAGCAGCTCGGCGATGCCATTGAAGCGCTCCGTCTCGTAAATGAATTGGAAGAAGACATTGTTGATGCTGCGCCGGATGAAAGAGCGCAAGTTCAGGAATTTGCCGTAAATCCGGTGCAGTGTCGTCTTCAAGAAGTCTCTTTCTCGCGGATCCTCGGAGTCAAAAAGCTCGAGCAGCTGCAGCACGAAGCCGTGGTCGATGTATTGCTTGGCGAAGTTTGTGTTGAAGTCCTGGCTTTCGATGAAGCGCAGAAAGAACTCGTAGACGACCTGGATGTGCGGCCATGCGACCTCGAGCACGGGCTCGTCTTCTTCCGGATCAAAGGCCTCGCCCTGTGGATTCATAGGCGGCGGGATGGGACGGAAGAGATTCTTGGCGAACATTTCAACGACGCGGGGGTACATGGGTTCGGAGATGACTTGGCGGTTCTGGGCGACGTAGTCGAGAAGTTCGTGGAGAGCGAGGCGCTTGATTTCTTTGCTCTTCATGTCGCCGGATGCATCATTGAAGTCGAAGATGATGTTGCATTGGTCCAGCTTTTGCATGAAAAGTTCTTGACGACGGTTGGGCGGGACTTCGTGGAAGCCGGGGAGCTTGTCGAGCTCCCGTTGTCTTTGGTCGGAGATATCGAAGCGCGAGGAGTGCTGTCGTTTGGGGGTACGGATGCCTTCAGGCATGACGTCCTTGGGTGCGGCGGATAGCCGGTCGAACATCATGCTCTTGGAGCCGGCTTTGGGAGGCGCGAGATCGTGAGGCATCGTCTCCTCGGCGCCGGGTGGTGGGATGTGCTGGAGTAAGTCAGCTCTACGGCATTCTAGACGTGCCCAATATGCGACTGACCGGCGCGCTGGGTGACACGATCACGCTCGGCGGCAGTATGTTATGTCTTCCCGGTGTTGCCGGGCCCTGCTGTGGTCCCCCAGGAAGATTCGGCTGCCCAAACTGACCCTGATGCGGTCCGAACGCTATTCCCATCTGCGGCGCACCAGGCGGAGGCGCGCCCGCACCCTGCTGTGTCGGTCCATCCGGCACGATGCCCTTGTTGCGCGGATCTACCAAGTTCGATGTGGACGATGTGGGCGTCGCCTGCGCCGAAGTGGCCGGTGACAGGTTGGAAGGCCCGCCATGCGGCGACTGGCTGCCAGAGGCGTCCTTTTTCTTGGCGAGCTTGTTGCCCTCCTTGTCTCGGCCGCGCGACGAGAGGCCCTGCTGTCAGACGACGACGTCATCAGTACGCGACTTCATCCACACGTCCCG